GCAGCATGAATAAAGGCATGGAAAAGACTAGAAAGAGCACATATGTGCCTGTGTGCTTTGGGCAGTGGTGTGCTGGCAGATACTTAACAACTGGCTCTCCAAACAAAACAAAAAAACCACTCACCTGATTTGTAGCAGTTGCCAATTTCCATGGTGTAAATATTCTCACCATGGCCAATTTCAAGCTACCGATGTGATGTCACTGAATGTGAATTTGAGAAGAGATGTGCACAATGGGCTTTTGAGAGCTAGTATAAGTGGGCTGCACCACACCATCGGCTTTAGGGGCTCAGGCTGGGGGTGAGAGAATAGAAAAACAATTCAGTCTTACTGGAGAGAAAATTCAGGGCAGCTAAGGGCCTGCTTTGGCTGATGGCTTGTGGTTTTTCTCTGAATATCCTTTAATAGTCCTTGATACACTCATTCAGAAAATCAACAAGCATTTCGGTCACACCTGCTGTGTGCCAAGCACTGTGCTAGTTCTAGGGATACGTAGATCACAACGCGTGAAAAGACATGGATGTAGGGATGGTAACAACAATCCTTTGAATGTTTCTACCATAGAGGCACCTAGATCGGAGCCAGTAATTATCAACAAGGCGATTGTAAATACGACTTTGCCTCCCAGCAAGCCCACCAGAGTCCAGGTGTGGATCCTTCGCATCCACACCTGGACTCCATCTTTTGGGAAATCTGACCCAGAAGGTCTAGGATAAGGCATGGGCATTCCACGTTTTGGAAGCCCAGGGAACTCTGACTATGGGTTGAGTGCCTAACTCAGGTCTTGGAAGAGAATCTGGCCTCTAAGTTGCTTCCTGTTCCCTCTCAACCCCGACATCAGGACACACACAAGTCTTGTCCCCCCTAAGATCGACCCCCTCTCTCACTTCTGGAGGACTGTTCATTCCCCATAATTGTCTAGCAAATGACTCCAGAATACACAAAAATCATTTTGTTGCAACACATTCCATTCTATAATGACATCATTTCAATTAGCTGGCAGAGGCCTGAAATAGAGATGCGTGGTACTGCTCGGATAAATCACCACCTTGGTTTGAAAGTGGATTTAAGACAGGCAGGGTGGGGGTTGGGGGGCGAGTGGACAGAGGGGATAAATATTTCATCATTTCTTCCCTTCTTGATGTTTTGCCAGTTTGTTCTCATTTCCATGCTTCTCCCCCTGCACGCCGGCAGACTGCAGACTGTAAATTTGAGGGGAAATAGTAAACGTGCAAACGTGATAAATAAACATGTTGGTTTTGCAGGGACGGATATTATTATCATCCAGATTTACAGCTCTCTTCGCCTGCATGCTTTATTGCATTTGGGGAAAAGCAGAGCGAGGTTTTCATGTTACATTGATCAACTTTCTGCCCTTCGCCCCCGGAACCCACTCTGAGTCATTTAAATATCAACCTAGACCAGGGACATAATCCGTCTCCCTGGGAGTGAATGCATCTTGACAGGTGTTTTCTTTGGGGATAGTTATAGCTGCAAAAGCTATCATCCTGTAGGGTGCTTTTGTTTCCTCCCTCCCCCTTTGTCATTTCTCTAAAACTGAACATATTTTTGTTTTCCCAGTAGGAAAAAGTGCCAGATCGATGATTTAAATCTCTCTCTCTTCCTGTCTCCTTCTCTGCCTGTCTCTTTATATTCTACCCTCTTCTGTCTTCCATCTTCGGGACAGGTTCTGGATCCTTCGAATCCAAGTGTCACCACCAACTTTTGGGCCACACGATCAAATTACTTACCGTCCCTGAGTCTCTCACCACCCTCGGGGCCGTGCTTTTTTCTCCGGGCTCCTTGTTGCCAATTTGTAGGGAGAATTGAGTGAGACATTTCTGTCTGTTGCCACCTTCCCTCCCAGAACGTCACCCCAACTAGATGGTGAACTCTTGGGGACAGGGAGCTATGTCAGTTTACCATACCTCCACCCCCACCTGCTCCTCTGCCCCCCGTTCTCCATCTCAGTCAAAGGACCTCCTTCTGGAGATGCACAGACAGAATCTTGGTGCCCCTTTACCTTCCTGGCCACCTCCCCTTCCCCGAATCCAGCCTGTCACCAGGTCCTGTGGACTCCTTCCCCAGCTGTCTCCACTCTCTCTGCCTCTCTCTGACCCCACAGCCCCTCTATTTTTTTTTTTTTTGAGTGTCCCCAAAGTGCCAGGAACTGAGCTGGTCTCTGACCGCTGTCCCCTCTCAAGAGGACCAATACAGCAGCGTCTATAGCAACTGCCCCATCTCCAGGCTTGCCTCCCCCCCCCCCCCCCCCCCCCCCCA